AAAGTTCCATATTGACGCGCCGATGAAGCGTAATTCTACGCCGGCGGTTCTGCGATATCGAAAAAGCACCGTCGCGATGTTGCGTCTCGTAATGTCACCGAGTCTGCGCAGGGTAAAACGCCGAGGGCGCAGGCACCTGGAACTCGGCGATAAATAACGCCGCAAAATTCTCCCCCCGTCGCGCGATAAGACCGGCCACGAGAGAATATTCTTGCTACGCTGCGACGCAACGCGCGGGCGCACACGAGCGTCGTGTACGCGTAAACGATTGTAAACCAGTTTTGACGTGGGTTGATGACTGCGGGTGCGAACAAAATCGATAATACTTGGCGAGTCGCCCCGTTGGTCCATGCTACTCTCCCTCTCTCCGACACACAAAGCGTGGGCGTTCAGAAATATATATACGTTATCTCTGTGACGTGTCTCTGCCTTCTCAGCATCACCCGCACATTCGCCCTTTCGGTGTACATCGGGTGCCCTAGACGTACGAGAAATAGCGAAGCCGCTTATCTCTGATTACCATGAAACTTGGCAACTGAAACAGCTAAGTTTCGCTAAGCCGCGCTAATTTAATCTGTTGACTTATTCTCGCTTGCTGGAGCATATAATTGCATCTTGTTTTGTTTCCGTTGGTATATTTAGGTTTATACGAGTTTAAATTGTCTCACGGAGACGATTCAGATTTGATATTATATTGAAAATAGTAAAAATAATGTTTCTCATTTTCAGTATTTTTTATCGTGCGTGTAAAACTTTGATTTAAAAATGTTTTCTCATTATTTTATAAGAGATTTATATTTTAGATATAAATTGCTTTAATTTTTAATTTGAATAAATAAATTTGTGCTAAAAAAAAGTAATAAAAACCGAATCCGTCGTCAATGAGTTTGTGTTAAATAAATTAATTTCTTCTAGAAAAGATATGTATCTATCATATTCTAGCTGAAATTAATATCACCATATTTACTCTCTATGTTTTTTATGAACATTTTATGAGTTATCGAATACTGCATTAAGTTCCTTGGTATTTCAGTGGTATTTCATGTTTTCTGTGGAAGTAGCACAACTTATCCTTTCCATAATCCTGACGATGGAATGTCTAATAAAGATATATCTGCTTCTACGGAATAATCAATTCAAATAAAATTGCAATATATAGATGCTTGTTAGTCGAATAGTTTAAATTACCTGAAAAATTGACGTTGCCATCTTTAAGATTTCTCATTGAAAATTTCTAATTTTGAATCTTCTATTAATAGATTATTCAAAAAGTGTTCAATATTCATTTTCTTAATCAAAAACACTCCTCGAATATACACGCCTGAAAGCGGTATCACCCGGTATCTCAGGGACATTTTGTATCCAAGGGGAAAGAGAGAGAGAGAGAGAAGGAGAGAGAGAGAGGCGGCCAAATCGAATCTACTCTCGCAAACTACAATCTTCATTCAGAGTCGCCCCCGCATTCTTCCGTGTGACGTCATAGAAAGTAGTCGGAGCATTCACTACCCCGCGTGCGCGCGAGCACGATAGGCGGAGCGGCAGACAAGGAGATCTAGGATGCGCGTACACGGACACAATGGTCCAGAAGCATATATCCCTCGCTGAGTAGCGACGACAGCAGAGGGCTTCGCACTGGCTTGTTGTCCTCCTGCATCCCCTGAGTATTGCTGACGTTGCCGTTGCTGCGGTTGCTATTGCTGCTGCTCCGCTGCTGCTGCTGCTGCTGCTGCTGCTGCTGCTGCCACCTCCAGCACTGCCGCTCCTCCGCCTTTCACTCGCGCGGGCTCAGTTCGCTGGTGCCCCTCATCAGCAGCGGGTCTCTTCGAACGACGTGCAACCAGTTTGACGTAGCTAGCTGTCAGATCCAACGCATTTTCTAGGTACATGTCCCGCGCCTTTGACATTACCCATGTGTCTCTTCCAAATTCGTTCGTCCATTGTCGCCTCCGTTTGAGTGTTCTCGCAAATACGTTCGTCTCCAAGAAACGCACCTGTAGAGCAGCGCGGATGCTAGTTTCTTCGTCATTATTGCGTCTTACGCGACTCGCGGAAGAGTGCCGATCGGGACGCGCGATTTCGTTCCGATTCTCTTCGGGAAGTGGATAGTTTTCGAAAAAAAGGGTCAGAAAGAGATCTCCGCCACAATGTACTCAATCTCTTAAATGGCACATTCATGAATTTTTTTTTTTTTCTTTCGTGTGCCAACGTTAATAGAGCATTTCACCGAAGAAGACAGTAAATAGCGTGTTCAGTGTGCGTGCCGAATCGCAATACAAGTGTTCTTTCGCCATCACACATCGTTTCGTGTTCAAAACAAAAACGCGTACTTCATATTTTCCGGTGGCTCGGTTATTTCTTACGTGGGTGGCTCTAATGATAAGGTTTAAAAACGCAATTTACGTGAGTAAATTTACGTGAGTAACCCTTCTATTATGATGCACCGACACGTATTTTTAGCATGCGAAATTGCCTCTTCTTATCATCTACAAACAAGTTTGCCAGCTGTACTATGTTTTTAGCGTATCGTGCGGTTTCATTGTTTTACAATGAAGTAATGCAAAATAATAGCACCGCGAATATACAAGCGAGGAAGCGTAATCTCGCTTTCTCCGGCGAAAATTTCTTAAATTAATGTTCGGAATTTCTGGAGCTGTTAGCATAAGTAACATAATTTAGAAAAATGTCGTCACACATATAGTGTTCATTACGAATAAATACAATATAGAAGCAGGATGTTTGAAAACACCGCTCTTCCGCAGTACAGGCTCTCGTGTCAATAAGCAGTAATAGCGGCTTACCTTGTGTGCGTCGCCAGCATATCCATGATCTTGATTGTGCGCAATATCTGATAAAGATAATAGCTTGTTTTGTTATTTCGAAGTATTATTTGTCATAATTTTCGACGATATCGAATAAAGATTATTCTAGTTGGGGAAAAAATAGCGTTCTCCAATTTACGTGCAAAATATTTATTCATCTTTCTTTACATCGTGATACGATTTCGTTATGAAATTCATAAATAACCTACGGAAAATATTGATACGAATAAATACGACGGCTACATTTTATTATTGTTATTTAATTTTGTTGTTTCTTATTTGTATTCAATCATTTTTAATTTTGATAGTGCGTGTCTCTTAATTTCTTCTAATTGTGACCTTCATGAATCGATGTCACTTTCTCGAGCGTTGTGTATATATATATATAT